GACAGCTCGCTGTCCCCAGGACACTCTGCTGGCCCAGGACAGCTCGCTGTCCCCCAGGTCCTTCCCCACAGAGCTGCTGCAGCAGCTCCTCCCCAGCCTGTGCTGTTGGTGGGGTTGCTCTTTGTTCCTTTAACCTCAGTACAACATTCAAACACACTGAGAGAGCTGAACAATGCCAGGATTTAGGTGGGGTGTGACTGGTTTAGAACAGACAAACCAATGTCCCCAGAGCAAAGCAGGTGGCTGAGATGAAAAGGGAAAATTTCAAAACACCAAAGAAGTTAGAAATAATATGGAAAAACCCAGAAAGGTGGGAAGATGAAGAAACTGAAATCAAAGTTACACCAAAACTCGCTTGCTCGTGGTCTTCTAACTAAATTCTTCTCATCCTTGATGCTTAATACCCAACAGTCCCAAAGCATCAGCTTCTCCAATACAAATGAAGTCAAATGTGTTCAGCTGCCTTGTTTAAAAAAAAATAAAGTATTACAGCATCCATACTAATAGTGGTAAAAACCCTGCTTGACTGCTGAAGTGATCTTTTAAATCTACAAGAAAACAGTCTTATATCTATCACTAAGACAAATGAATTTTTACTCCTGGTTATGAAAAGCAGCCCAGTAATTCCTGAGAAACCATGCTGAAGTGTTACAAAACTTTACTGAGCAAAAATACTTGCCTGTCTTCCAGTTTCTTTTTCAGAGGTTGAAGTATAACTTCAATTCTTAAATTCACTTTTTTTAAAGGTAGAACAATTCCAGGTAAAGGTAAACTGATACCAAATTCCACCTTGTATTCACAGCTTCTCAAAAACAATAAATGCTGTTTGTCTTCAAAGTATTTTCCCAGGAAACGTGACAGGTTTCCTGAACTAAGTGTTAGATAAACATTCTTTAGCTATGATAAATAACTGCTGCAGTCTCTTCACCACATCCTTTGCAGGGAATGCTTGGTACAGGATGCATCCTGGGTTTTAGGATCTATCTAGGATATCTGAAATGCCCCTGGATATTTCTTTCTCAGCACTGTACAGGCTGGGTCACTGTGTATCAGTGTGTGGCTGGGAGTGCTACAACAACAGAGCTGAACCAAGGAGAACTCAAACTGTTCTAAAGGCTGATAAAGAGGTTAAAAAAATTAAAGAAAGGAAATAAAAATAAATAAAAAAAAGCAGCAGGAAACAAACTTTTCACAAAGAAAATAATGGTTTTCCTAACTGGATTTTAGGAATTCAGTTGTTTTAGGAAAGGCAACAGAAAATACATCAAAAGGACCAGTGATAACCACAAGGAACAGTGATAAACACTGAAGCCTGGTGACAAAACACTGTACAGTGAACACTTCCTAAATGCAACTTCAAAAGTCCATGGTTTCCAAAGCAGAAGTTATTTCTCCTTGGCTTGTCTGTTGACTCTTTCTCCTGACACTTCACACATTTATTGCAAAATAAAGTCTCTTCTGAGAGTGTCATATTACACATTCACATTCAGTGAAATCACACCCTCAGTATTTTTTTGGTTTTGCCTTTTTTTTTTCCCCAAGTAGAACTCTCCTCATAAAACAGTAGAATAAGTACAATTCAAAGAGCAGAGTAAATCTCCTTAAATCTTTGTCCTTAACTTGGGCAGACTAACCCAGATGAGCTCAAACCCAGCCTTTCCAGTGGGAGCCTTCACCTGAATTCCAGTGCCTGCACACCTGGGACTGTGTCACCTGTGCCAGCAGAGCTCACCAAGCTTTTCTCAGAGGCATCCCCCTCCTTCTCTCCTGTGCCTGGGTGATTCCACGGTGGAAAACCCGCTCTTTTGCTGGTTTTCTGCAGGAAAACCTACACTTTTCCTGGTTTTCTGCAGGCAAGGAGCATGAGCAAGTCCTTCCCCTTTCGGTGGCAGCAGCGAGTTGCGAGAGCAGCCCGGCTGGGTGCTGAAACCATACCTCACATTTCCTAATCCGCCTTTCTATTTTTAACCAGAGTCATTTCCCCCACCTCCTCTGCCATGCAGACAGCTGCAGAAAGCAGCTGGAGACAACAGGGTGCTCCATCAGGGCAGTTTTCCTGGCAAAAAGCCATCCTCAGGCCAGAGGAGAGTGCAAAAAGGGACATTTCCAAGGTGTGCTCCTTCTCCTTGTCCCTTGTGGTCACAACAGCTCTGAGTGCACGCAGAGTGTGGCAACCTGGTTACCCAAAGGACCGTGGCTCACCTGAACTGGCTGAGATCCCATCAGCACCTCTTGCCCCTAAAATCTCAAAGGAGAAAGGCTCCAGCAAGGATCCAGAGCATGGATCTGCTCCTGTACCGGGCTCTCCCAGGACGGGGAGGAGGGACCATGCTGCCCTCTGTAAGGCAGCATCACCACCTGACACAGCATTTGGGAATACTTGCTGGGGTGTCCCCAGCACAGAGACCTCCTTCCACATGCTCACACCTCCTGGGGAAAGGTCTGGAGTAACCTTCTCCTCCAGATTTGGATATCTCCTCCCCCAGGCACTTGGTGTCAAGTGTCAGACACACAGTAACCCCTGAATTCTCTCCTCACATGGGAGAGCAGCTTTAAAAAGCTCAGCTTTAAAAAGCTAATGTGCAGCCAGGCTGTAAAGTTAACCAAGCAAAAAGGGCACTTTCCTGAGCAGCAGGAGCAGTTTGGAGCTTTCCCAGGCAGCTGGAAAGCCAGGCACACAGAGCACAGGCTGTGCAGGGTGCTGAGCCATGCCAAACTTGGGCACACAGCATTTGGGGCATGGGCTGGCACTGAAAGTGAGGTCCAGCTTTCTGAGCTGTGCCCTCCAATTGGACCCATTTTCTCCCTGGAGTTGCCTGAAAATGCCCTGGTAGGATCAAGCAGACCTTTGGCAGAAGACAGCCAAGCTGAGAGTTTGGCACTTAAAACAAACCCGGCTTAGTGGGGGGAAAGGCACAACTCCAACACCGACTCAGGGAGCTTAGAGGAGTTTAGCTGGAAGTTTTGAGTCATGCTTTTGGACATGGGCAGCCAGAACAGCTTAAGCCCTCCCTGAACCCTTTTTCTTTTGTTCAAGCAACGGCTGCAAACATCACAAATGGAGCTACTTCTGCTGTTGTCCATGTGCTACAGATTTTCCATGCTTTAAGTTACTCACACAAAACAGACTCACTGCCAACACGATCGATCAAAATGTAAAGTGAATGCAGACAGGACTGTACAGACTCTAAGTATTAAATGTTTCAGAGAAGCCCATCACTTACATGCCTACAGAAACAAAAGTCAACCAAAACAGAAATCTGGTGTGGAATTAAGCACAGCAAGACCCACAGCAAATCTTCCCAGCTCAAACGGATTTGAATTACAGGGTGCCAGGAAACTAAGCTGCTGAGCAAAACACTCCACCAGCCATAAACCCACGTGAAATTACATTTCATTAATGAATGACAGTGTTTACAAGTAAGTAAATGCTGTGTTTCCCCTCTGCCTTAGCTGGAGCTGCTCTCTTAGGAAAAAGACCGCAGGGTGAGCAGGTCCTCTCCCATCATTATTCCACTGGACTTTGTTAACAGGCACAGAAACCACAGCAGCAGCAAACACCCACGTGTGAAACCAAGATCTGCAAGTAATTTAATTTCTTACTTTCTGGAAAAGGGGAGTTTCAGGGGTAGGAAACCTCTTTAGCATCTTTTACAGGCACCAGGCCCGTGGGTTAATGATTTACCTGACAGTGCCGTTAAGCAGATTAGATAAGAGTGGTTTTGTTATGGTCTGTTTTCCTGCCTTTGTCTGTATAACCAAATCAACTGGCAAATGAAGAAGGCAGGGTATTACCTGACAGAGCAGGAAGAAATTAATGCTCCTCTCAGCTTGCTCACACCATCTTGCCATAAAAACACATTTTTAATACAAACACACATGCCCATCTATACACACACAGCCTAAAAACCAACGCCTGGAGTAGCTCTTGTCTGTGTGTACACTTGTGTGTTCATATACACAAATATATGTATAAAAAACACACACAGATGAGCCACTGCAGGCAGCTTGGTTTAGTTTCTTCCCCATAAGTCAAGTTAAAAAAAAAAAACAGCCTTGACTCATCGCTCTAAATCTATTAGAAAGCTTCCAGATTAAAGCACTGAGTTCCAAAGAGGTTTAGGATGAGCAGAAAAGGCGGCTGTGCCCAAAACGCACAAACAGGATCACATCCCCTGGAAAGACTCCGCAGCGGATCCAGGGTGCAGCTCACAGATAAAGTTCTGCTCCCCCAGTGCCCTCCGAGAGGGTTTCTGTGCTCTCCCAGTGACTCACGGGCTGCCCACACCCAGGGCCACCCTGCTGTACACCCGCAGCTCAGCTCACGCTGCGGGGCAGCGGTGACACCGTGACACACGCGGAGCAGGCACAGGCACAGCTGCTCTACGACATCACAGAAAGTCTATAAAACACCTTCACGCTCCTGCTGCTTCACACAAACACCGCACACAACTGCCCTGGGGATACGCGGCAGCAGTCAAGGGGGAGGCCAGGCATGGCGAGAGCTGCCCGAGGTGCCAAAGGGGACAGCAGATTGTTCCTGGCTTTTAGTTTGTGCGGGCAACGCCGTTACCACGCTGTGTAACTCTGGTTATCTCCCGCAGGCGTGCTGCAAAACAAACGTACAAACCCAGAAACCAGGGGGAGATTCCGTGCCCCAGCAGGAGATGAAGCTGCCTGATGGAAACACAACCTCGAGGCAACCTGGGGGACAAGCCAAAGGCAGGTCACTGCTGTCCCACAGGCTGGCAGCTTGGCTGGTTTCTAGTAAAAAACACCCCAAGATAAACTAAAAACTAAGATTAAAACCAAGCAGCGAACAACAAAGTAACCACAAGCTTAAGCGCCACTTTCAAAAAAGTCGCCCAAGCAAAAAGACAGCCAGCACCCCAGGGCTGTGCTGCAGACCTGACTCTACCCAAGCCCCTCTGTGGTTCCCCAGCAGCACCAAACACCCCTTCACACTCAAACGGGACTGTCCGGAGAGGAAAGGTACTCACTGCTGGAAATGAGGCGGCAGAGAGCAGCAGAAAACGCGGCTTTTCCCCTTCCAGCCGCAGCCAGACGCGCCGCTCCCGGCAGCAGGACGGGGACACGGCGGCGGCGCGGCCACTCCCGGAGCGCGCCCGCGCCTCCTTCGCCAGCCCCGACTTCCTTCGCCTTCAAAGTTGCCTTTCAACTTCCCCCGGGCTGGGCTTCTTCAGTGCTCCTCTCCCAGCTGCTCGCTAGCCCCGCGGGAAGCGCCTGCGGAGGGAAATGGGGAGAGGTGAGCGGAGATCCAGAGGGGATGGAGCGACAGCGCTCCCGCCGCTCCTTCCGCGGGCGCGCCAGTGCGTCAGCACCGGGAGAGGAGGGGACGGAGCGCCCGCCACAGCAGGAACAGCGGCAGCGGGAGGAGGAGGTCGGGAGTGCCAGCACGGCCGCGGGTGGTGCAACAGCTCCCGGCAGTGCTGCTCTACCGGCAAACAGCACCTAAAACATGAGGAAATGGGTACATCACCCAAGTTCAGTCTGGTGATTCCTACTGTACGTGCAGAACGCTTTCATTAAGTGTCACTTTTGAAAGCTGAAAAAGTCACTGCAGGGAGGAAGTATTCCTTTTTCCAGTATATACGAGTACCAGATGTTAAGTCCTACCCTACAAATAAAAAAAAAAAACCCTCCACCAAATAGAAAAGTCGTGTTCCACCACACTAACACGAAGCAAAACAACCAATTCCCCAAGCTTTCCATGAATTTTTTGGCTCTGTCCCACTGCTGCCACCAGCAGCAGAGTCCCTGGCCAGGCAGCATCACCACCCCCCCCAGGGCTGGCATCCAGCCTCTATCCCAAAGGCCACAGCAAGGACTGGAAGCACACAGGACCTCCTGCCCGCGGATCCAGCGGGAAAGGCTGGTGAAAGCATCCCAGGTGAGAAGGAGCAGAGGATGCCTGCTGGCCGCTGCCTCGGGACAGCGGGGAGTTGCTGTAATTCCGTACAAAACCACAACACAGAGCAGGCTGAGTCATGTTGGGAAGACTGATGGGATGAGCAGCGCTGGCAGTGTTTTCCAGCAGAGCACGGACTCTCCCGAGCCTGCTGGCTGCTGGATCCAACAGAGACACTGTCCAGAAGTGAAGTCAGAAGCGTAGGAAGCAGCCTGCTTCCACTCCACAAATGAAATAATGTGGAAACTGAAAAATAGGCACCGGCAGTAACAAATAGCAGCATCAAGTTTTCTGAGCTCCATCCCGAGAGAGGGAGCCTGTTGCCAGGAATACTGAGGAATCTGCAGAGCCACATCGAAGAAGCACAGGGTGGAAAAAGAATTTTCAGAAGCTGAACACAGAAATCCTTCTACACTCATCCTAACATACAGAAAACAAGTATTTTAAAGGAGTAGCTGCTTTGGGGTTTTTTAATAGATCCACGCCCCTGAACATGGCCCAGCAGTGCTTTTTCCTAACACACAGAGGCAGCCAAGTATCCAGTGGAACAATGTGCTCATCATCAGCTCCTCCACAAAGTTTAGACACCTAAAAACGGCCCATGGTCAAGTCCAACTCAGCCCATTTTCTTGAAAATCTGAGGAGACATGGAATGAGGCACCAGTGAGCTCTGGTTTTTTGGGGTTTTTTTTTCAGCAGTCTTTTAGTAACTGGGCTCTGTAGCACTCAACAGATGTTATCTGCCCAACCTGGCCCCCTTTCCAGGAGGGATTCTGGAGTGAAAACAGTAATTGCTCATCACCTAAAGATTCCTTAGACTTAATTCGGTTGGTACCAATCCTGCAAATCCCTCCCAGTGAGAATATATATAAGGAATCTACAGCTTAATTAGCAGCTGCCACAGGCCAAGGACTCCTTGTTATGCTGACGACACTCATGTCTGCTTTGGGCCCTCACACCTCTCAAGACAGCAGAAGTGACCTGCTCCCTCCAGACAATAAATGCGTTCATATTTGACAGAAATGCCCTTGTGTTCCTCCAGCAGATCTTATCTTGGCGATATTTTTCCCCCCATGATCCAGGCCTGCGTGAGTTCAGTGACCTCGAGGCACGTAACAAAGGCAGCCCTGTGTTCCCACGAGTCAGGTGGGGCCAGAAGGGAGAAGAGAAGACAGCTGAACGAGTATTACAGGTAATTAAAAGTCAGCTTTGAGAACACCTTTTCAACCACGGTGCATTTAAATACTGCATGTGTCCAGACAGATACAACATAACACCCTGTAAAGCCCTAAACAAATAAAAAGAAACACAGTGAACTCTTCCACTGCATGTGCAAAGGAGGGTATTTTTTTCTCCTACACAGTCCAGCCAGGACATATTTAGCCTAAGGGCTGAAAGAGAGGACAGCCTGAGCTGATGACATAATTTTCTTTCTATAGGACTGAATATCTGGGACTACTGCCCTCAGTTCAGTGGCTGTTGCTGTTTCACCTCTACCTTCCCCCATCCTGCTTCAACAGGAGGGTGACAATCAGCCAGAAACGCCTGAAGAACAGAGATGGCCACAGAGATGTTGCTTCTTTCCCACCAGAACATGAGCAATGTGACAAAAACCAGATCTGAGGCTGACTGCTGGCACTGAGGAGAAAGGGCTGCTACCCCAGTGCTGCAGTGCTGATGTGTCTTGATCATTCAAGCACCACATGCATTTGGAATGCCCTTCCAAAGGCCTGGGGAAAGGCCTTCCTTGCCTTGACAGCTTAAATCTGCCTGAATATCAAAACCAGTCAGGTTATGTTGAGCTCCCTTTTTCCCTATCCATCAGAAAAGAATTGTGTATCAGCAAGTGAAATCCAGCACTGAGGGTGGCAATGAAAGTCTCGAGCAATTGAGAAGAAACTGCCCAGAATCCCAGGGTCCCTGAGGCTGGAAAATCCCTGCCACACTGTGACTGTGTGATGTGTTCAAAGGGCTTCACATCAGCAATGTAAATTTATACATACACCTCACGTATCCCAAAAAACCTTCAAAGCACTTTGTCTGTCCATTCAAGTAACTTGTCCTGGTCAGTGACACATCAGAAAAAATGTGCTACAGGAGAATTATAAAGCTACTCTGACCTTAAAAGTGTTTGCATTAAAACACTTACAGAAGTAATGTGAAACTTTATTATTACACGTGTAATTAAATAATAATAATTATTTCATCTCTTACAGCATTAAAAGCCATTACAACTTCTTATGTGGAAGGCAGTTAATGGACAGTTGCTTTTGAAACTAAAAATATTGACGTTAATGGGGTTCCGAGAGAAACTAAAAAATAAGAAACAGCTGAGTTTAAAATCTCTGAAGTGCTATCAGAACAACTTCCAGAAGCAGCAGGTAAAGTGCTTAGGTGTGTTTGCTATCACAAAGGGAGATTCCAGAGCGCTGATGTGCTCATCAGTTCCAGCAATGAAGTTTCCCGGGAGGAATGCTGTGTCATGTAACTGTGACTCACAGAGCAACGTCCGCAGGAAACCACTCTTCTCCCTCTCTCCCTATAAAAAGCTCAGCCTTGCCTGTAAGTTGAACTGAGTTCCCTGAGCAGAATTCCTCCAATTTCAGCATCATGTGCTCCAGCACGTATGCAAGAGCTAAGGTGTATTTTAAAGCCTGGCAGCAAACCAGAATCCTCTGGAAAACCAGCGGGAAGCTCCTCCTGCTCCTGGTTCAGCAGGGAGTTCAGAAACACCTCGTGCTGCTGTGTTTGGACACGTGGTTGTCCTTTGCCCTCAAAGCAGTTTGGCAACCAGTCTGGGACGCTCTGCCTGGCTGAGCTGATTCCAGGCACTCCCAGTCCACTCCAACCCTACAATGCCCACCCATGGGACTGCACTCATTGGGACAGCTCTGAGGCATCACACACCTTCCTTGTGCACACACTGTCACTCTAAATGGGATGGCAGGAGCAGCAGTGGCATCCCAACCCCCTGGAGCTCCACCAGGATATGGGAACTCACGGTGAGGTGTCTCCACTCCATGCCTCTCGTGGTTCAAGCAGCTCCTGGAGTTCTCACCTAATCTAAATGGATAAAATCCTCACTCTGCTCATTGTGTCTGTTTCCCAGATGCCCAGCCTTCTGCTCTTTTTGGTTCAAGGCTGTGGTTGACCTTTAGATCCTTGGAGAAACACATGGACCTTCCCAAGGGCGGCTCTGCAGGGCTGAACACCCAGCACCTCTCCAGGGAAAACACTCTGGAATGGCAATTCCATGCAAGTGCAATCACATACCCAGGTCAAAGCAAGAATTTAATACCACTGAAGTCCCTTTTGAGCCTGGAAGAGTGAAGCTTTCCATAAAAGAGAAAAATAGAAACGAGACACCCTTTTCAAACCCCCCACTCAATAATAAGGACATTTTCACAGGCAGGGTATCATTCCCACATGACTGCATCCCACATCCAGCACTTCCAGCTTGGGAAGTGCCACTCCTATTCCCTGATCCACTTATTCTGCCCTCCCAGAAGTCTCATTACCCAGGTGGGTTAAAAACCTCCAGTTAAAAAAGTCACCACCTCAAAATTCTCATTTACTTCTGTCTCTTCCAAACCCAAAATTTCAACCCAGAGGCCTCTGTTACAGAGAGTTTCCTCACCAAATAGTGTAATGGGACACAGAATGGTGTCCCACTGATTTTTCCATCAAAAGAGTTTGCTGTTTTTCCACACCTTGGGAAAAGGCTGCTGGTTTGTATACCGGCAGTTTGGAACTATCAAATTCTCTGGCTTCTTTAAGGCCACAGAGACCATCAAGCAAAATAAACATTTCAAAACAGCAAACCCCAAGCAACCAAAAATAAACCCAGCCACAACCCCAAAACAAAGCAAGAATTAATACAGGATGATGTTTGGTGCTAAAGTTCAACAGCAGGGCTTGTGGGTGTGGAGGGGGCTTTTTCCTGTTAAAGATAAATCAAGCCTGTCTCCACATCCTGAGCGTTTGCTTGCACGCCACACCGAGCACCAAGCAGTGAGAAATCCGCTCCTTGGGGCTCTTCAGCAAGATGTTTGTTATCCCAAACACCTAACCTACACCTGCTGCTCCTGCCAGGAGCATCTCTCTCCCAGCCAGGCAGCAGACCCAGAACTGGGACACTCCACTCCGAGTGTGAAGGTAAAACACCCGTCACCAATTCATCCCAGGCTCCGGTTCCCTTCTCCCTAGGGAGCTGGCAGCCAATATCCAAAGGTTAAACGGCCCTGACATCCCTACCTATCCAATACCTTTTTCATTAATAAGCATGATGTGGATTAATACTCAAATACACCCTTCCTCTGCCCCAAGGGCAAAGGGAACAAGTCATCAGGAGCGATAAGGAGCTGTTTGTGAGGGCTGCAGGGTGTTGTATTCCCAGTATCCTGTGTCAGGGCTCTACACACGGCTGAGCTGTGCAATTCCATCATTCCAGCTCTCATCCTCCTCCTTGTGACTTCCCCAGCCGCAAGTTCACCTGGGTTCTCAGAATGACCTTAATTAAGAGCTGGCAAGAACAGATTATGCTCAGGAAGCCGGAGCCATTAATCTCAAAGGCTTAAAAGGTTTACAGGGGAAGTGTGTTTATATGTCCCCTTATCTCATCCTACAAAAAAGGGAATAGGCAGCAATGCCACCACAAGCAAAGGCTGCTTTTGGTGTCACTTGGATAAAATCTAACTGTACTTTTATCTCCACCAGTGATCAAAATGCAATAAAAATTTGGCCTGCTAGACCTTATTTTTATAACCTTGACCTCCAGTCCAGTTTATTCTTAAAAGATGCTCAAGCATAAGCTCTGTGTAAGCATGAAAAATAACAGCCTGGTCCTTCTACCAGGACCTTTAAAATTCTGCTTTCTGGGATGTATGTCCTAAAAAAATCAGCATTCAATGAAATCTCAACTCACATTTCTTACAGGGACACTTTACTACAAGCACCTGGATTACGTGTCTCTCACTACAACTCCAAACAGAAACTTGGAACAGGGACCTGAAGGAACTTCATCCTACTCCCACCAAAGCCAAGTCTCAGCAGCTTTGACCACAAAAGGCATAAAATCATGGAATGGTTTGGATTGGAAGGGACATTAAGGCTCATCTCATTCCATCCCTGCCATGGCAGGGACACCTGCCACTGTCCCAGGCTGCTCCAAGCCCTGTCCAGCCTGGCCTTGGGCACTGCCAGGGATCCAGGGGCAGCCACAGCTGCTCTGGGCAACCTGCTCATGTCTGCATCATGTGTTGGAATTTGAAATGTAAGGAACTTTTGGTTTGTAAGTTAAAGTTTAGGATTAAATATAGGATTTTATTTGAGATCTTGGGAAAGGCTTTTGAACTTAAGTATTAGAAGTGAAAATGTAGATTTATAGTTTAAAGTAGAAACATGTTAAACTAAATTTTTAAAAAATGTAGAGTTTTAGAATTTGAAATATAAAAAAATAAAGCAGTTGCAAAAGTAAATAAAGATATTATAATATAGAACTGTAGGTTTCTGTGTTATAACATAATTAACTAAAAAAATTTACACTGTAACATAAATCCCTAAGACAAAACATTTAAAAATTAAGTCAAAAACATAAATATCCTTATTAGCAGTGTTTTATTAGTTTTTTAAGGAGTAAACTCCTTAAAAAGTCTTGCAACTAAGTCTTGTGACCTTCTAAACCATACTATAACAATATGAACCAAACACACCCTTCCTACCTATAAAAAAGATAAAAAAAGAAACCACATCATCAAAAACAACTCAAAAGTCTCATTCAAAACTCCTTCAAAAATCCCCATAATCACACACTAATTGAACTAAACTTCTATTCCCAACACAAACATATTATGCTGCAGCATACACAGAGCAGCTAAATCAAGCCATGGCCAAATACCTTTCCCCTGGCATTCATCATGCAAATTTTGGCTGGCATTTACTGTGCTGCCACTTGCATTTCTGTTCTTGACACCAGCCACAACACACAGATTATGTTCCTGTTTTCAAACCCCAGAACACCCAAAACCCCTCTCCGAGAGTACAGACAAGGGAGTTCACTCTGCTTGATACTGACAGCAGAAGGACCTGGAGCTGTTAGGGCAGGTCCAGAGGAGGACTTGGAGATGCTCCAAGGGCTGGAGCCCCTCTGGAGCCAGGCTGGGAGAGCTGGAGGTGCTCACCCAGAGAGGAGAAGGCTCCAGGGAGAGCTCAGAGCCCCTGCCAGGGCCTAAAGGGGCTCCAGGAGAGCTGGAGAGGGACTGGGGACAAGGGATGGAGGGACAGGACACAGGGAATGGCTCCCACTGCCAGAGGGCAGGGATGGATGGGAGATTGGGAATTAGGAATTGTTCCCTGGCAGGGTGGGCAGGCCCTGGCACAGGGTGCCCAGAGCAGCTGTGGCTGCCCCTGGATCCCTGGAAGTGCTCAATGTTGGACACTGGGACTTGGAGCACCTGGGATAGCGGAAGGTGTCCCTGCCATGGCACTGGATTAACTTTAAGGTCTCTTCCAACCCAAACCATTCCATGACTTCATGATTCTGCGATACCCTGCTGCCTCCTAGTTATTCCCAGTGGATTACCCAAGGTTATCACAGAGCTGATTCCACAGGAGTTACATGGGATAGGTGTGTGTCTCAAACTGGGGACACCACCATCCCTGCCACGCTCTCAGTCAAAGAAACCCCTGGTATTTTTTAAGGACCTGTAAGTACTCCCAAAGGCTGACCTCACTTGGGTACTATTGTGCTGCACCCACGATTTCCTAGAGCAAGAATAGCTCCATTTCTCCTCCATCCACACCAAAGAGCCCCAATCCAGAACATCTCCACAGAACTTCCACTGTCTGTTGTGTTTCCTAAAAATCACTGTCAGAGGTTTTACCCCTGCAATTACAGGTCACAAAAATGCAGTTTGGTTAGGAGTTAAAAATATCTAATAGGGAGTAAAACAGTGAAGGTAAATACTTCAACTTTCTAGAGAGGCAGACTCGCTTTCTTGGCTGTTTATTTATGCTGGACTGTTATATTTGCTGAGGAATTGGCACTTTGCAAAAAACAGGGCGCAAACATGCTCAGCTTCATACTGAGCACTTCAAAACCTTCGAGTGTTACTTTCTGTGTCTTCTACAGCTCACAAGCAGCAAGAAGTAGCAAATGCAGCTTCAGATGTCAGAAAACCTGGCCTTAAGAAAAAGTAAATGCTCTTATTTTGCAAATTACCCTACAAACACAATACAGACAATTCAGTTTATACCTTTATAAAACTATCACCTAAATTCCTTATTTTAGATTTAGACCAAGCACAATAATAACAGAAAGGCTTGGGAAGTTTCAGAGGCAGGGCTCTGAAGGGCTTAGAAAGCTACAGACAAGGCAAAATTCAGTTTCACTGTAAGGAAATCACTTCCACAGTGCAATCACAATATTTGGGGAGCAGGGGGGAGAAGGAAAAGCCCCTGTGCATCACCCGATGAGGGGGCACAGCAAGAGAGCTGTGATGCTGTGCATGTAAGCAGCTGATGTAGACAAGTCTTGCTGGATTATTAAAGAGCCATTGTCCTGAGCCTGGAGGCTTTCAACAACTCATTTCACAGCTCCTCTCTAAAAACCACCCCAGAGTTTCACGCCTCCGCCCCCCGGAATGAGAAGTTCACGGGTTTTGGGGGTGGATGTCACAGCATTAGTCAAACAGAAAAAGGCGTTTACCTTGCCAGGCTTCCTGTCCTTCCCAGGTGATCATTTCCTCTGGCTCTCCAGGCCTCCCTTCTCCCCAGCAGGAGAAGAAAGGAATGCTTTCTCCTGCAGCTTTGAACGCTTTCTCCTGCAGCTTTGCTTTCAGTTTGCCTCAGACAGACGGAGAGATTTCTTCCAAAGCAAACACTCCAGCAACGTCACCGCGAATATAAATAGGCAGAGGAGAAGGAGGGAGAAGCACAGCCCTTCTGGAAACACGCAAGTAGGGGAGAATATCAGACAGAAATAAAGCCTTTCTTTTCCTAAAGCTACACTCACAGCCTCGACTCGGACACCACAGCCGGGCTGAACGAGCCAAGAGAAATATTGCATGCATGCAGCCAGCCAGAGAGGGAGGTTCTCACATATCCCGGGTTTTGCCAGGAGCTGTGCTATTTCTGCTGCCACCCTGGAGCTCACACACACGGCTGCAGGTCCAAATAAACACCAGCAAAGCCACCTGCACCCACCCACCGAGGTGGGCACGCCGGAGAGCCTGCAGGGCTCCAGGGGCCATTGCCCCTGCATCCCTGGAAGTGTCCATGGCCAGGTTGGATGGGGCTTGGAACACCCTGGGATAGTGGATGTTATCCATCTCATCTCTCTCCCCTGGCCCTGGGAGTGGATCTCATCCCTACACAGAGGCAAGAACTGGTCAGGGATGTGAAGGTCTGGGCACCTCTGGCTGCACTGACCATGGAGTTCAGAGCCCTCAAAGGAAGGAGCTGAGGGACAAAGCTGCACCACAGCCCTGGACTTGAGAACAGGCTTTGGCATCATCTTCAGGGGTGTGCCTGAGAATCCCAGTGGCTTGGAAAGGGACCCAAAAGAGCTGGTTGATAAAAAGAAAAAGGGACCCAAAGGAGCTGGCTGATCACCTCCTCCAGGCTCAAGGACACATCACCCCAACAAGCAGCTGATCGAGCTGAGCAGGCAGGAGGCCCCCATGGAGGAGGACAGAGCTCCTGATCAGGGCCAAGCGCAAAAAGCAGGTCAGGGACAGATGATCCAGGAGGAATCTGGGAACACTGATCCTGCAGGTGATCCAGGAGGAATCTCAGGGACACTGATCCTTCAAGGGCAGGTGATCCAGGAGGAATCTGGGAACATTGATCCTGCAAGGGCAGGGGATACAGGAGGAATCTGGGAACACTGACCCTGCAGGGACAGGTGATCCAGGAGGAATCTGGGAACACTGATGGGGCAGAGGTGGGGCTAAGAGAGCCAAAACACATCTGGAACTGAATCTGGCAAGGGATGTGAAGGGTGCCAGTGAGGCCAACCTTTGGGAACTGCAGGCCCCCGAGGCCAAAGGGAAAATCCAGACAAGGAAGACTTATCCTTAATGGAAGAGGATCAGGTTAGGGGACAGCAGGCTGGACATATTCATCCCATGGGGCCTGATGGGATGGATGCACAAGTGCTGAGAGAGCTGGCTGCTGTCACTGTGAGGCCACACTTGATGAACTTTGGAAACCATCTCCAGTTACCTGAAGGACAAGAGGGTGATCAGGAGTAGTCAGCATGGACATATGAAGGGGAAAAAATCCTGCTTCACCAGCCTGACCTCCCCCTAGCATGAAACAATCTCAGTGGATGAAGGGAGTGCAGAGGATGCTGTCTGCTTGGCTTTGGCAAGACTTTCAACACTGGCTCTTCTCACACCCTCAGATGAGCTGGCAAAGTATGGAACAGCCAGGAGGGCAGGGAGGTGGGTGGAAAAGTGGCCAAATGGGCAGGCCCAGCAGGGAGAGGTCAGTGCCACAAAGTCCAATTGGAGAACAGACACTTCCCACAGGTTGATATGAGAGCCAAAATCATTTAACCTCTTGTTAAATGACCTGGAGGATGCACAGAGCGTGCCCTCAGCACTTTGCTGGTGACACGATAACTGGGGTGAGTGGCCAGTACACCAGAGGGTCACACTGCCACTTGGATCAACTCTAAAAGGCTGGAGCAAAGCGCAGGGAGCAGCCTCAGGGTGTTCAAACACAGGAAAGGCAGAGTCCTTCCATCACCGGGGGGGGAGTGACCCCAGGAGCCAGCACAGGCTGGGAACAGCTCTGCCAAGCAGGACCTGTGGGTCTGGATTACAACAAGCTCCCAGGAGCCAGCAAAACAGCCTCCCAGCAAAAAAAGCCACCAGCTGCATCACAAGAGTGACCCTTCCCCTCTACTCAGCACAGGTGACACCATTCCTGAAGTGCTGGGCCCAGTTCTGCACTCAACAGTGGGAAAGAGACATGGAGAGAGTCTGGCAAATGGCCCTGGACAAGCAGCTCTGGGTGATCCTGCCTGACAAGGTGACCTTCCAGAGGTCCATGCCAAGCTCAGCTGGGCTGTGATCCTGGGAGCCTTCAGCCAGTCCACTCTCACAGCCTGGATACCATCTGTGATACCCCCAGGAATTCAGAAGCAGCACCTCAGCCCTGTGTAAGGCACAGTGCCACAGCGCTGACAGGTCACACCCCAGCCCAGCAGAACACCTGACATGGGTCCCATCTCACTCCTGAGGTCGAGATTCAGTTCTCAGCCCTTGCTAACTCACCTTGGCCATGGTATGACTCCACTTCTGCTTTCTCAGTGTGACACAGTGGTCAGAGACTGGCAGTGTGAACAGACCAGGCAGGAGGTGTTTCATCACTCACATTTCATAAAGGTCCCTTACAGTCTCCATCTCCCTTGAGTTTTGCTTTCCTTTTGCCTTTTTTTTTTTCTCCCCTCAAACATCACCATTGGGATGAATGCTTAAAAAAAGCCCTCAGCCCCACAAATGTTCTGTTACACCTCTAAAATCCAGAGGAAGATTATCCTCTATTATAGCAAAGCAAGAAGAGTCAGACATGGATATCATTTAGGTTTACAAGCCAAAATCTTCATTAACTTAGCAGGTAACTACTTGTTGCTAGTGTAAAAGAACAGAAATACTGAAGTTTATTATTTGAGGGCCAAGAGATAAATTAAAGCTGTAATTTCTTTAAATCTCCAACATTTCCTGTTCCCACAGCTGGAGGTGGTCTGGTAAAAAGAGGCCAAGTGACAGCCATCAGCAATGGAGGGAAGTACAAAATTGATCTTACCTATCAATATTTCACCCTAAAACAGAGGGACAGGGAAGACCCCATGCAATATCCAGGTTTTTGTCCAAAGCTCCCAATAAAACATGTTTCTCTCTAACTGTCAGTTCACTTGCCTTGCCTGCTTCTCAGTTTAGCACACCTCCTCCTCCTCCTCCTTCTCCTCTCTTTGCAAATACACTGAGGGCTGAGCAGGGACAGGGAGAGCCCAGCTGGGCTCTGCTGTGGTGGCAGCTGGCACAGCTGGGGCCAGGACACTCGAGGTCTCTTCACACAGCAAAAAAAATAAAGGCACCAGTCAGTTTTAAACTGACTCCCTGCAAGCATTGGCTCACAGGGATTTAAGGCCATGCAGGGTTCTGGCTTCTTGCCATGGGTGTTGTCCCTGTGTTAGCCCGGTGTCACCAAACCCAGATGCCTCACATTACAAAGGACTGCTGGGGTCAGCTGGCCCAGTCCCTGCCCCAGGCAGGTGCATTTTCTGGAAGGGTCTATGGCCCTAGGCCACACCATGGTTCCATCCAGGAGCTTGGGAAGGTTTTTGTGGATTGTTCCATTCGTAGCTACCCAGCTGGATTGTACTGTAACATGAAAGGCTGGGCAGGGAAGTGTCTGAGAGCAGCCCTGGAGAAGGAGCTGGGGGTGCTGGGGGTGAGAGCTGGGAGCCAGAACCCCCCCGTGCCCTGGGCTGAGCCCCAGCGTGGGCAGCAGGGGAGGGGGGGATTCTGCCCCTCTGCCCCTGGGCTCAGCTGAGACCCCACCTGCAGAGCTGCCCCAGCCCTGGGGCCAGCACAGGAGGGACCTGGAGCTGCTGGAGAGACCCAGGGGAGGCACCAGGATGGGCAGAGGCATGGAGCAGCTCTGCTGGGAGGGAAGGCTGGGACAGCTGGGGCTGTGAGAAGGGTGTGTGGAGACCTCACAGCTCCTTCCAGGGTCTGAAGGGACACAGGGAAGCTGGAAAGGGACCCTGCAACAGGAACTGGAGGCACAGGACACAGGGAATGGCTTCCCACTGCCAGAGGGCAGGGATGGATGGGATATTGGGAATTAGGAATTGTTCCCTGGCAGGGTGGGCAGGCCCTGGCACAGGGTGCCCAGAGCAGCTGGGGCTGCCCCTGGATCCCTGGCAGTGCCCAAGGCCAGGTTGGACAGGGCTTGGAGCAGCCTGGGACAGTGGAAGGTGTCCCTGCCATGGCAGGGGTGGAATGAGATGAGCTTTAGGGTCCCTTCTAACTCTTCTGGAATTCCATGAGTAGGTGCACCAAGAGGCAACCCCAAAACAACAGACACTCCCTGCAAAGATCTGCACAGGGGCTCAGATTCTCAGCTCACAGTTTTGTCTTTAAAATTCCTGCAGCTGTGAACATAAAGACTAGACCAGCATCTCCAACCATCACAGCAGCTTCTCCTGGGGAGACTGAGAACTTGCCTTACACCTGTGGCACTCAGGGCACAAAGGAAATCCCATTTATACAGGACTTTTCTCTTGGGCAGCATGAGCTACTGTTTCATACTGAATTAACCCCCATAAAGGAGAACCAACTAAACACAGAAAGAACTACTCTGGACTTGCAAGGGAAAAGAGAGGCTGCTAATTACAGCCCAACTCAGCTCCTCACTGCCAGCAAGGCATCACCAGCCCTGTCTCTGTGTTACTCTGCTGGAGGAGAGTGGCTCCTCTACAAGAGTCCCAGCTGGAAGATACCAGGAGGTTGTAGCTGGCATTGAAACCCAGAACAAAGCAAACCAAGGGAGAATCAGGGATGCTGCATGTCCTGCACATTGCTGAGATCCACCCCAAGGATCTTGGCATGCTGCTGGTAGAGAAAGGAACAACTGGCCAAAGTTTCAGGGAACCAGAGAAATAAAAACAGAGGCACACACACATGAAAAGAAATAATTCTATATGGAAATTACACATCAATCCAGAGGCAGCCAGGATTCCATCCTGCCCCAAAGAAGCAGATCTGGAGCCTGGGTATCACCTGAGGCAGCTACATACCCAACAAGTATTTTTGGAGTGGTCCAGCAAGGAACTGAAGCACAGGGAACATCCCTACACCCACACTGAGAGCATGGATGGGGACCAACCATAAAACCAACACAGCACAGCCAGGTTTCCATCCTAGACT